CCTCTACTCAAAACTAGGTTTGTTTCCTCAGGAGAAAGAGAGAATTACTTAAGAAAGAAGACCTCTTATGGTTTGGTTCCAAGCTCTTTCTTTGCCTCAGTTCCCATCACTCTCATAGATACATCCCTATTCCACACAATAGACTCCTTGACCTTTTTCAAACAGTCCATGCGCATCCCCACCTCCAAGCAGCTAGGACTGTTTGTTCTTCCTGGAATCCTTTCACCTTTACCACCTGTCACATTTCTATGTATAGTTCAAGACTCCATTCAAATTCCATCTCATCCATGAAGGCTTACATCAAATGCTCACCCATCTTCTGCCAATCAGAAGTAATTCCTCCTTCATACCTCAATTAGAGCAGTGGCCTCAATCCCACCTATGCTATAGTGACATAATGCATATGTGTATCTTCCCAACCAGATTTCAGTTCTGTGGCAGCAAAGTGTGTGCACAATGCATGTGTCTATCTATTTATAACCAGCAAAGTACCTCGCACACAACAGGCATTCACTTAATCTATTCTGAATTTTGGTCAGTGGGCTGCAGTAAATCCTCACCTTATGAAGGAGGGGATAAAATAGGTATTCCTGGATTGAAAATTACAGCAGCATCAAAAAGTGAATTAATTGTCCAGGCATCACCTCTGCATTCACCTAGTCACCTAAGGTCTAAATCACTGCAGGTATCATTCAATGAGAAGGTAAAGACAACAAAAAGTAAACTCTGAGTCAGGGGTCCTCAAACTACAGCCCACAGGCCACATGCAAATACAAATATTGTATTTGTTCCTGTTTTGTTTTTTTTTTACTTCAAAATAAGATATGTGCAGTGTGCATAGGAATTTGTTCATAGTTTTTTTTTAAACTATAGTCCGGCCCTCCAGCGGTCTGAGGGACATTGAACTGGCCCCCTGTTTAAAAAGTTTGAGAATCCCTGCTCTGAGTGCTACTGGGCAGCATAAAAAAAATAAAGAGGAATAGGGAAAGGCAAGGCATAAAGCTACCTTTATCAGCAAGCATTTCCAAGGGATACTAAGACAATTCATTTAACAAATATTTACTAAGTGCCAGATGTTACACTGATCGCTGAGAACACAAAGGTGAAAACAGAGAAAGGGCTGAATTTTTACATGCAATATTTTTAAGTGCAAAGTGTTGACCTATAAATTATTGCTTCCTAAAGTATGACCAAAAGAACAGCTTATAAGGGCCAAAACGGACTGACTGTCGATACCCGACTCTGAGTCTAAAAGTAGGAAACTTAGCTTGCCTAAATTGGGATTATGTAGGAACTCTCTCCCACGACTGCTTCTGAATGTTAAAAGGGCTTCCTTTATTTTCACTGACTATAAACTGCTCAGATAGAAAATTTGAGTTCCAGATAATTGAATACATTCCCTGCACTGAGATAAGTTCTATCCATGCACAGGTTGTTTTAGTAATTAAGGTACCAGCTACTCTGCCATCATGAATGAAAAGGGAGGAATTTATTAAAATGGTGTCATATAGAGGTGTTGTATGGGTTATAGCGGATAGTTGTTTGCTTTGTCCGCTGGGGTCAAAATTACAGAATCAGCATGGAAATACAACAAAAGGAGTTCAGGTTAGTCATTGGAGGACTTGTGAGGCACCGATTCACTACCAAGTTACACTGTGACCCATTTCTTCTGAAGATTTTGAAAGAGGCAACCTGCTTTATTTTAAGACAGTTTAGGGCAAAGCAAGCAGATGTAAAGATGAATTCTTAGGGTTTCTTTCAGAGATGCTTTCTCTTCTATGTAACCAACCATGTGCATGTGTATTAAAAAAAATATGACACTGTCACGCTAAGAATTAAAAAAATAATATAACCAAAATGTCATCTAAGATAAAATCTGATTTATTGTGCCCTTACTCATGAGGCTTTCAAGGACATAATAATTCCTTCTTGTAAATCAACATCAATAATATAAATTATCAAATGACCTGTTTGCCTTATGAATAAATTCAAGTTGCTTATTTTTTAAAAAAAAAAAACCCTGATATATTAATATGTGACTACTACAATATCCTTGTTTAAACAATTGTCTTCCCATAGAGTTTAAAAGAAATATAGTTTTATTTACTCATGGGATAACATACTCTAACAAAAGCATTGGTACTAATTCATTTTGAGGATTTTCCTTTAACTTTTATAATTGAATATTTTCCACTCAAAGCAACTTTGACATCTTTACATTGATGCCCTCTTAACAATAACAAACAATTCTATAAAATTAGTTCTAACCGGTTTGGCTCAGTGGATAGAGCGTCAGCCTGCGGACTCAAAGGTCCCAGGTTCGATTCCGGTCAAGGGCATGTACCTTGGCTGTGGGCACATCCCCAGTAGGGAGTGTGCAGGGGGCAGCTGATTGATGTTTCTCTCTCATCGATGTTTCTAACTCTCTATCCCTCTCCCTTCTTCTCTGTAAAAAAATCAATAAAATATATTTTTAAAAAATTAGTCCATAGCCCCTCACGAATTAAAAATATTACTGTATCCTTTACATATACAAATGCCAATCATATTAACAAATGTATTTCTTAATATTCACTTATCCATTCATTCATTCAACAAGTAATTATTGAGGGCTAAATGTAAGCACTGTGCTAAGTGTAAAGATGACATAATTACAGTTTCTGTCCTCAGACATAGAAACATAACACTACAATACCAAAACATATCTATTGGGCATCAAAAGGGAACCAAGAGCAAGTAACTATATAAACCAAGTATCCCCAAAGTTCCAAGGTCCAAGCAACTAAGTATGCAAAATAATTGAGGAAGGATAGCAGATAGGATGGCTCACTCAACCCTCATTCCAATTCTCCTTCTCCTCGCCTTCCTCCAAAATAGAGGCTGGAAAGTGAAAGCGGTTTTTATCTCCTAGAGAAAGTGATGTGACACACTTTGGCCAATGAGATGTAGGTGGAAGTCCACTGAGCAGGCATCCCTTTTGAAAGAAAAAGAGAAAGCTCCCCATGAAGAAAGGTTTGTAAGTTCCCTTCTTCCTGCTACAAAATAAACACACTTTCTACAGGGACAAAAAAAAAAAAGTCATCTGTGAATTAGGAAGCAAAAGTTATATGCTAAGGATGGTGGAGAAGGATGCTGTTACCTGGATCTCTGAAGGCATCAGTTACCTGTAAACTAACTGCCTCCGGGTTTCTTCTGACATGAAACAATAAAACCCTTACTCATTTAAGTCATAGTAGATTTTCTACTTGGAGCCAGAGGCATTTTTACCATTAAAGGAAAGCTACTGAGAAGAGGAGATCTTTGAGTTACACTAGCCATGTCTCTTCCTTCTTTGATGTAGGCTGTAATGCAGTCTTTTTTAGCCAGAAGAAATAAAAACAATTTTGAATTTTCATGTCCACAATTATCCTACAATTTTCAGTCATCTAGATTACTTCAATAAACATGTTCCAATTTCTCTGTGGAAACCCATTTCTTGCATAGTCATTATAAGACTTTTATTTCTTTTCCTAACTGAAACCTTCAATCAGCCAAACCTATAAAATAACATTTTTATAGTATGGCATTGGCATAGATAATTCATATATGTAATATAACATACAAATAAATAGCTGAACTTTGGAAAAAACGGGGTAAGAAAACAGAATGGAAAGAGGAAAGAAAGGAAAAAACCAGCTTATTTGAAAGTATAAATGTTTTTTCAGTTTTGTGAGCACTTTATAAAGCAGCTGTATAATAAATGAAGAACCCCAAGATAACAATATTTTTTAATAGAAAGACTCCCCCAACTTGGAATTAGCAATTCTGCTTATGAAAATTTTTCAGAATTAAAAAATATATAGCCAACAAATATATAGCGTCCAATTCACCACTAGCATTATTAAATTATTATAATATCCCACCTATCTCTAGTAAACTCCCTAAAGTAATAATGTTTCTTTATATAAGTTTCTGTTGGACATATTTTGAATGTGTAGGATTCTTGGGATAGTTTCTACCGTACAGTGCTGAAAAGATTCATTAATTTCAATCACCATCAACTCCCTACGCCACATCTACTTTTTCTGCCTTTTTGTTCAAATATATTTCACTGTGGCCATTCAGAGGAAAATTACACATTCCAATAACATTTGAGTTCCTCTCAGTTGCACTTTCAGTGGTTCAGGGTAATGACAGAGTAAAGAAACGTATTCTTTACAGGCTCTCCTTTTTTTTTCATTTTTCATTTGGTAGCATTTCAGCTTCAAATCTCTTGTGCCAGAAAAGCAATGGGCAATGTCTACTGCTCACCCTAACAGTGTCTTACTTTGGAGAGAAGGAGAGTGAGAGAAGAAATCACTCCCAATCTCACTTCTTAAAGACAATCAGCACATGGAATAAACAATTTCTTTGCTTATTTTTCTAAAATAGAATTATGGAACCATAATTAGTGGGGGGGGGGAGCAAAGGGGGAATAGAATTAGAAAATTTTCAACCATCTTTGAGTGTGAATAGGGGCTAAAGGGGTGAAATTATTGAAAGTCCCAGCCCTAAATTCTCACTGAAATCAGTAAAAAAATAAAAAAAAGTCCTATATTCATAAAACCTGGGGTTTATATATTCCTTGGCATTGTTCATAGGTAGAGGCTTCCTCTGTGAACTAGACAAATGCCACACTCTCTTATCCATGAGACTGACAGAATGGGATAAAGAAGGATAATAAGTATAGTTAGATAACATAAATGCCCTCATTTTAAAACCAGTATTCAAAGACACCCTACAATAATCCATAGGAACTCGAAAGAATATTCAGAGAATGACAAGGCTCCTTTGTTTATATCATCTCAACTTCAATTTCATCTGCAGTTATCTCCTTTCAAACACATATTTCTAGGGCCCTTACATGCTATGAAGTCCTTTTTCTCAGGCCCATTTTTGTCTGGTTATCTTTTTAGGTGCACTAAAGATTGAGTTTACAATAAGCTGAACAGACAGCGTACAGAAAGCTTTTAGAACTATACCATATGGTCCAGGGAAGGGAACAATCTGGACGATCCCCATTTCAGTCTGCAAGCTCGTCCACCTCTATAACACATTGTACCACTGTAATAAAATATTAAGATGGAAACGTAAAAGTGAAAATAGTCTATCTTTAGCATTACCAGGCAACCGAAAATTTACCGATAAACTTAATAAACATTTACTTTAATTTATATTCTGCAACACCAGGCATACAAACCTAGGCCACTATTCACTAAAAACAATATTTCGGCAGGGATGTGTGTGGGTATTCAACTTATGCTTCAGAAATTTGGAAGGGAAAAAAAACCAAAATACTTTTACAAGGGGCATATTGGCAGGAGCTGATGTAACAGATGACACATTCTTGGAAATCAAATAAAAGCAATAGGGAAATACCCATTGTTGCCTGGTGAAGGCCTAATCACATGGACACAGCTGGAACCAATGTAGATCACTCATTAATAAAATGGTATTGTAGTAGCCACTTTTTGATGCATTTCTCTTGCTGCTGTAGCCAAATCTCTGAATCTCTTTGTTTGGTGTTAGTAAGGCTGTTTTACTGGGAAATACAAGATTTAGGAGAGTGCGGGGGAAACCTGCTCTCATGCTGAAAAGGAGACTAGCTCAAAAAGCTAAATGTCACTGTACCTTGCAATCAACTTACACTCTCAGCAGCTTAAAATATGCAGCGTAAACCTGAAAAGGAGGAACTCGTATGGTACTATGGATAAAAAGTGAGCAGTGTGAGATGCCACAGAAAACATATGAAATATTTGTGAAAGCATTCTACAGAATGATAATATAGATGTCAGGCAGGGGAAATTAAAATGAATCAAAAATGGGAGGGGGGAATCAAACATACACCTTTCATGCAATACTGTCTATGGAATTTTAACACTGAAGTGTGTACCATATGTGTGAGAGGGGATTACTAATAGTTTTGACCACAGAAACTTAGAAATCACTATTTGTTATTATGTTACCAATATTCGATATCAAACAAGATACTCAAATCACCTAACCAGGAATGTTTTAAATATGTACTGATATTGAAATAAAATTACATATTAGTTAAAATATTAGTTATAATTATAAACATGATAGGTAATGTAACAAAATAAAATCCTAGTTAATAGAATAAATTTAGTATTTATCCAACTTTGCTGTCGGCCCTTAATAAATTTACTTTTCCATGTTTCTACAAATATAGTGATTAAGTGACTGTATCATAAATCCTATTGTATAATATCAAACTATAACAATATAATTACTTTGATATGTGTACAGAATTAAACAAAATTGTAGAATTTATTACATACAAAAATGAAAAACTCAATAATATTTACAAAAAAACTGCTCAAACATTACAGGTCTTCAATATATTTCTACAATGCCTCTGTGTATAATTAGAATAAACAAATAAATAGGAAAATTCATGCTGAAATCCCTAAGTCACTGAAAGATATATTCCTGCCACAGAAAAGATAAAGAGCTTCCCTGCAAATAAAAATTATACCACTGGAGAAAATGTATTTATAATAAATAAATAGTACTTAATATAAAATAAACATTATTCTACTTATGTGAACATAAAGGATGAAAGAGTTTTTGGTCTGTATTATCTTTAACCACCAATACTAATATTATCAGACCTTGGTACAGAGGATTCAAGACAGTCATGCACTTAACTGCACCAAGAAAAAAGAAAAAAACAGTTTCACTGGCATTCCTTCTAAAACATATTATAATTCTGAAACTTAAAATGTTGACCTAAAGATTTAATTGATGTAACTTAAAGGGATCTCACCTAGAGTCATTTCAGCTGCGCTACAGAAAAAGTCACTGGGGAATGGGGAAGTGCAGCATTTATTACAGGTGCATCATATACAAAGCAATTTGTTTGTTTTGTTAAACTAATAAGCCAATATGTTGCTGAATCTGTCTTGAGAATGAGAGAAAATAACAGGTGAGTTTATTTAATGCATACATCTGATATACCTGTTTTAAAAACCCTTTAAGGATCTTAAAGCATTTTCTAAATTAAAAATAAATCTCTGGAAAAGCAACTGTTAAATTGCATAAGTTTATGTTCACGTACTATATAGATATAGTATTTCCCAGTATATATGGCATATAAAAGTGTTTTACATTAATAAGTCTAACATAAAGTACTATTTGCTTTCTTTTCAATCACATTTGTTGCACTGCTACAAAAATACATGAGTTTTTCCTCCCAAAATCATTGACAAATTTTAAAAATATGTCAGTCAAAATAATATCAATCTCCTCCTAAGAAAACATATTCTGCCTATTTAATTATTCTTATCTTGATGGTAAAACACTAATTTTTAAAATAGATCACTTGAAAATAAATCATTTATTTTTGCTTAATACAACAGAAAACATTTACATTTTGAGGAACATTCTATGAAATTTCATAGAATGCTTGCTCATAGTGAAAATTCAGTTTCCTGCGCAAATCATCACCTAAAATCATAATGCTACATTTCCACGCACCTTGTAATAGTAGGTCACTAACTATCATTTAGAGGAAGCTATTATTGGGAAAGCTAAAAATACTTCTGTGTTTTATCTTGCATTTGATTTTTAAAAAATTGTTATGCACATCCTTATTTTTCATGGAAGTTTATCTGGTTATCTAGCATCAGTTATCAGGCATTCTAAAGGTGAGTATTCAATTTGTAAAAGATAAACTACCCTGAATTTTAGACAGAAATAGAAAATGATGGCAGACATTTTGGTCTCAAGAAGAGATAGCTTGGCATTAAAATCCACACAATACAAGGAATGATCATTCAGGAGTTTCTGTTCAACAACTAAGCTGTGAAGCAAGATAGGATTCCACTCAAGCAAAATTACTATGTCAGAATGACCAAAGTTAGAAGGGTTTGCTGAAAACTGTGGCAAAAATGCAAGTGTGAAGGAAATCTCTGAGAGCTGGAAAAGGCAAACCTAGCACAGGCTTCTGTAAGGAACAATGCCACTCACTAACTGTGGAGGTCGGCAGGAGAATGATGATTCCATTGTGTTCATGATGGTGGTCTTTGTGAAGAAAGAGGAAGGCAAGGGGGAAGAAATGGTACCGGTAGGAAGAAGGAAGGCGGCATGCCTGCCTCCGGTGACGCTGGAAGGGGAGACCTCTGCCGAATGAAAACCACCGCCAGAACCAAGCTACACAAAACACGTTGGCTGCCATCCTAGAACAGTGCCAGGCTGGTTTTTCTTTCTGTGCTAGGCTCCCTCCATCGAGGCAGTGTGGGATTGTCACTTTGATGCATGTAGAAAACAAAGAATAATAGTGGAGGGGGGACTTTTTTGCCCCTTTAAAGTTAGGTTAGCATTTTGGTTTCTTTGACAGGTTTTGAAAAGATCCAAGAAACAAAAGTTATGCTGAAGAATGGATCAATAGCCTAAAAAAATTAGTGTGAGTACAATATTGTCAACAGTTTCAAAGCCATGTGAGAGATTAACATTTGAACAAATCAGACTTAAAAGGGGTCCAAGTCACATATGTACAGGTTTAAGAGGCTAGAGACCAAGAAATACATGATTTATAATCATATAATCTTACTTAAATTCTAATATTATAAAATCTGCCCCCCCCAAAAAAAAAGAACTAATATAAGTATTATAATTATAGGTCACTCACTATTCAGAGACAACTATGTCAGCTGCTATTCTTACCCTGATTTCTCCAGGATGAAATAACCTGATTAAAAGATTATAACATTAGAATCTGAATATTTGATGCCTTTACAAGGAAAGAGGTGATAAATGATCAAAAATGTTTAAAGGATTAAACCACAAATCATCTACAAAGTTGCCACAGACACAAACAGGAAAACCGTCTCTTGTCTCCTATTCAATTCTGTACTAGAGTCAAAGCTAACACAAATGAGAAAGCCAAGTGTGTGCTGTTGCAGACTTCACCTAAATACACTCCCTGAATCTGGTGACTAAAACAGCAATAAGCCATTACCTCCTAGAGCGGTGGTTCTCAACCTGTGCGTCGAAACCCCTTTGGGGGTCCAACGACCCTTTCACAGGGGTCGCCTAAGACCATCCTGCGTATCAGATATTTACATTACGATTCATAACAGTAGCAACATTACACTTATGAAGTAGCAACGAAAATAATTTTATGGTTGTGTCACAACATGAGGAACTGTATTTAAAGGGCCAGAAGGTTGAGAACCACTGTAATACAGCGTTCATGAAAAGCACCAAAGGCCTACGAGTCTCTTCCTCCTGCACATCTCCACGGAATCCCCTGTTAAAAGAACAGCAAGAACTACACTACTTGCCTCAGATGTTCCACATGGAGGCATGGAGCGTTTATCACCGGAGCTTATCTAATTTCTGACAAGATGGTCCCCTGCCCAGTTTTGTTCATGGCCACAGATTCTAAATAGCAAGTCACATCCGTGTTGGGAAAAGCGATAGGGGAAGGAGAGAGAGGAAGAAACCAAGAGAGACTAGTGGCCAAATTTCAAACAATGTACATGCTTCTGTTGTTATGCAAATTAGTGCCCCTGCACAACACTTTGGGAGGACAAAATGTGTGGTAAAAGTGCAATGCCTTACTCTGGGTGGCAAGGGTAAATCTAACATATAATCAAAGAATGCATGATTTTGCTCTCACTGTTCTCCTTTTACAGTTCCTTTCTTTCCTCTAGGATACACTGCTGATGCTATGACCACGTGGGACACTGGTAGTTGTAGGCGAGGCATTCATGGATTGCCAAAGTGGTCCAGAGAATGATGTCTGGTTGGCTTTAGTTCAACAAGGAATATGAGGCAAAACTAGGGAGCAAAAAGAATGAAAGGTATAGAAGAAGGTAGCCGATAGCCTGTTTTTTCTGTTTATTAATGATGCAGATTGAAATGGGGGGAATCTATAAAAGGCAGCCAAGAGACTGAATTAGAAAGAAAGATGAAAGGAGTTAAATGTGTGTAACTTGGCTGACAACCAAGGAACAATATGAGAGCTGTCCACAACTCTCCAAAGTATAGACATAAAAAAAGAAGAGCGGGGAATTTTTATCTACAATGGAAATGTGACTATATGAAATAATGAGATCAAATAAAAATAAAAAAAAGTCTGATTTCAAGCAGCACAGGAAGTAACCTGGTAAAACTTAAGAAAAGCTGCTTCCTTCTCTTTAGAAAAATTTACCATCTTCCTGACCTGCACGGAAGTGAGGGATGAATGAGAGGGAATAACCACAGACTGCCAGAGAGGCCTGGACAGATGGAGAAATGAAAGTGAAGTCCCATTTGCTTACCTGATGATCCAGATATACTGGTGCCTTTCTCTGCATATGTCCAACCTGGCTAGTGCAGAGGTACCTGTGAGATCACGAAGGGCACAGGTAAGTTGTTATCTTCCACATAAACCCAGCCTGAATTCTGAGTCCTGACCCGCACAAACACTCACATGAGTGATCCAGCAGTCTGAGTCCTGGGTATTCCAAGATGGGACAAGAACCTCCCAAAACAGAAATGTTCTGAGTCTTAACTAATAAGAGCTTTTTTTCCGTCATCAAGGATTTTCCCAAGTCAATGATAATGTAAAAAAATAATAATAATTCAGAGTAGAGGTTCTAAACCGTGGTACGTGGATGGCCTATATGCTCCCGAATGATATGTGTAAAATGTATGGGCTTGTGTAAATGGATATCTCTCTGTAGAGAAGGTCAATAGTTTGTCAGATTTGCAAAAAGGTCCATAATCCAAAGTACTATCAAGAATCTTTGCTGAGGATAGCCTGAAATCTCAGAGGCAGGCTGAAAAGCATATGGATAATTAGTCCAAGATTGGGGTTTGCACTCCAGGGGAAAAATGGGGGTATACAGATACTTGTAGAACTGGGGTAAATACCTTAAAAACATTACTTTCTGGGAGAACATTCTATCAGCTTTAAACTATCACTTAACTTACACAGCCCTGTATTCTCAGTTGTGCACAGTGAAGAGAAAAGATGTTACCATATACCCAGGGGTGGATACTGTGACTTTCCTGTTCTGTAAATATTAAAGTCAGAGAACCCTTAAGAATATGAATATTGACAAGGTCAGAACTAACATAGTAACTCAGCCAAAAAGGAGCCTTTATGACAAGCAAAGAGGAGGACCCAGCAAAGCAAAAAGAAATGTGGCTCCCAGACAGTTTACATAGCACCAAATCACAGGATGACCTAACACACCTTTGACAATAATTATTTTAAGCAGTAGCCATAGACTCAGAATAACCCATATTAGAAAGGAACCAGGTCAGAGAACCTTCCAGGCACCAACTCTGAAAAAGACAGGAAAGCATTCACAGCAACAGGGAGAATCCTGAGTGTCATCTTTGAAAAAGGTTAAGAGAGAGAAAAAGGCCAGGAAGACATAAATCAAGTGACGAGGGGGCCTTCTGAGATGGCCTGTTTGAAATAATGATATAGTACAAGCATGTCAAACTCAAAGGCTAATGCGGGCCAAATAAATGAGGCATGCAGCCCACGGGCCGAGAGTTTGACATGCTTGATGTATTATCTATATATATAAAAGCCTAAGCAACTGTTATGACTGAACAACCAGAACCACCGGAAACAACCGGTCAACCGGTCACTATGACACACATTGACCACCAGGGGGCAGATGCTCAATGCAGGAGCTGCCCCTGGTGGTCAGTGCACCCCCACAGCAGGAGTGTTGCTTAGCCAGAAGCCGGACTCACGGCTGGTGAGCGCAGCTGCGGCAGTGGGATGAGCGGAACAGGGCAGGCTCCTCCCTGGCCACCTGCTGCTTTGCACACTACTACATCCCCTGAGGGAATTTCAGACTGCCAGTTTCGACCTGATCCCTCGAGGGGATCTGGGATTGCGAGAGGGCACAGGCCAGACTGAGGGACCCCACCAGTGCATGAATTCATGCACTGGGCCTCTAGTATTCTATAGAAAAATAGTTAACCTCATGAGCAGCTTCTAGGGACTGTAGTCAGTGCTGGGGATTCAGCAGAGAACAAGACACCGTTTGCTCCTGGGAGGGGAGGAAGGATGCAGGGAGATTAGTATATCAGCAATATTATTTCAGTTATGATACATGAAATAGAGGAAGTAAACAAGATGATGTGACTGAGGCATGGGAGCATGGCCTCCATCTATCTAGTACATCACAGTGATGCTCACTCCAGTTCTCAAAGTTAGTCAGGATCTTAGCGAATTGAGACAGAAAAGACCCTTGGGAAAGCTAGTCAAACCTCTTCAGTTCAGAAATGAGGACAAAGTATCACAACCTCATTATCTCCAAACATCAAGATACGTACACCTGGGCTGAGTCATGACTTTATGATACGTGCTCTGCCTTTAGAAGAGAAGCCCAAGAACAAATAACAGAACAGAATTTCTGTTCTGTTTTTATAAACTGGCCAAGGATATGACGCACTCTGTACCCTTTACAGTTAACACAGAATCACATTCTATCCAAATTCCTGGCAAGTTCCATTCTATTAAAAGAATTTTGTTTTTTGCTTCTACAGACAAATCTGATCAATGTGTGCTATCAAACAAAGGTGAGAGGAAGCGGGAGGCATGGGAACCAGTCTCCAAGAGGGCCCCTAAATCCTCACCTCGTGCAATTCATGCCTGTGCAGTCCCCTCTCTCACTGTATCAGGGTTGGTTTGAAGGAAAAACAATGCCATGAAAGTGACGGTGCCTGACTTCTGAGGCTAGGTCCTAAAAGATACTGCACCTACCCCTTGCTCTTCTCTTTCAGATAACTCTCTCTGGGTGAAGCCAGCTGTTAGGTCATGTGGACATATGCATAGACCTATGGCATGGTCCACGTGGCCTCCTGCCAAACAGCCAGAATCAACTTAACAGCATTATATGAGAGCCATGTTTTAAGCAATCATCCAGGCTGCTCAGATATTCAGGTGACTACTGCCCTGGATAACATCTTGACTACAACTCATGAGAGAGATCAAGAGCCAGATCACCCAGCCTCTACTCTCACCCCTCTCTGGCATGAACTCTAACTTTCTGTATTACAGAGCCTCAAACACTGAAAACTGCATTTCCCCGATGCACCTGCATCAGGCCTTCAGCAGGGGACCCAGGTTCATCTAACCAGAGAAATCCACGTAAGACTTGGAAAGAAGTGAGCAAATCAAGGTGGTAATCCCCTAACAATGAGATCAGATCCTGGGAAGACATTTTGTTCTTCTGACAATCAAGCGGATACTCTATTAAGTCATCCCTAGTATCTATCATAAGTTCCAAGTAGCAAGCGACAGTGGAGTTTTCCACTAGAATAGTAGACCTGGGTGTTTCTCTTGACTTGTGTTGTTCTTAGCTTATTAACAGGTTGGTTCCTTGGAACTGCTGGAAGTTAAGCAGTGAGGAACCTCTCCCTTTTTGCTTAAACTAGCTAGCTGTCTGCAACTTAAACTAGCTGTTGCTTGAATCTAAGAACCCACTCTATCATACACAAATTTTCCTAACTCACAACACATTACCTTTTATTTCATAATGGACCCTCTTCTTTTCCATTGCTAATCTGTCTATGTGTACACTCAGTCCTATTCATCATGGCTTTTCTAAAAACTTACTTCATCAGTTTTCTTCTTTTCCCCTACCTCCAATCTTTTCCTCTCAGCTGGCTCCTTCTCCTTCACCAATAACACACTTCTTTCAACTCTATGGACTATGCCTGTTAACACATTGTGTACCGCATAGAAATCTCTAAGACATACGCCAGGGACCACACGTTTTGGGCAAACTGCACGTTATTTAAATCATCATAATGCACTTTAGGTGTTGTTTTTCAATAATTATAACATTTTTATTTACAAAAACAATTAAACAATTAAAGTTCCTAGTACTTTTTTAACGTATGGTACTGCGTAAAACATTTTCCTCTATGAAGAGGCACCAAACAAAATTTACATAAGTATCTAGATTCGCTCCTTTTTCCATGGGCGTGAAAAACGAGAACACTCGTGAGCGGTCCTTAACAGATGGCGCGCGGAACACAAGAAAACTCCTGAGCAGTACAAAATGTGTTAAGTTTCATAAAACAATAATATAGTGTCACTGTCTTCAGTTCAATTTTTGTTCAATGTTCAAACTACCACAATTTGGCTTCCTTGGTCATCACTCTACTGAAACGGTCATTGCTAAGGTTGGCAATAACCGAATAATTGACTATTTTCATGCCTCACACAGCTAGACTGTGCATTTGGCACTCCTACCTGCCAGCCTTTTTGAAACTCTTTTCCATTGCTTTTCAGGGAATGACCACCTTACAACTCTCCTCTGGCCTATGGGTTTTCACTATTTTACCCTGGCTTCCTTTCTAGGAATTCCCTAGGGTTTATCCGTAGGGATATTATGATTTCATTCTGCCCCTGACTTCAAGATTTCAATTACCATCTATATATTCATTGGTCATTCCCAAATCCAAATCTTTTCCCTACCTCTCTTTTCACACTACAAACTTGTAATTTCTACCTACCTATGAGATGCATCTAGCTTTATCAATTATTGTAAAATAAAATAAAAAATTCCCTAACTTAAAAAGGACAAATTTATACCCAGCCCAGTGGTGTGGCTCGGTGGTTGAGCGTTGACCTAGGAACCAGGAGGTCATGGTTCGATTTCCCGTCAGGGAACAGGCCCTGGTTGCAAGCTCACTCTTCAGTGTGGGGTGTGCAGGAGGCAGCCGATCAATGATTCTCTCTCATCATTGATGTTTCTATCTCTTTCCCCCTCTCTGTGAAATATATATATATATAATGTAGTTTATACCCTATAGCTGTGCAGTCTAAGACTATGGCCATTAGTCACATGAGCTTACTGGGCACTTGCAATGTGACTAGTCCGAATTGAGATGCGCTGTAAATATAATATACACAATAGATTTTAAAGACAACACAAAAATGACTGTAAAATACCTTAATAATTTTATATCAATTACATGTTGAAAAGATAATAATTTTGATATATTGAGTTAAGTAAAAAATATAAGCAAAATTAATTAAACATATTTCTTTTTACTTGATTAATGTGGCCACTAGAAAATGTAAAATTATTGCATGATAATTCTATTGAACAGTGCTTCTCTACTCACAAAAAAAGGAACAACATGAAAAATATATATATACACTACACTCAACTAACAAGGAAAGGAAAAAAAGAGAATTGTTGTTTTTTTCTCTCTCAAGTCACCCTCACATTTGGTCCTGGAATCAAGACTTATAAGGTTCCCTAAATCTCAAAATTATAATGTGAAAAATACTAAATTGTACCCTATAAAAATCAAATTTAATCACAAGTATATCACAGAAATACAAATAGCTAACATTT